ATATGAGAGAAGGGGTAGTGGAACATGAGCCGTTCCCCTAGACCAGAGCCACAAAGGAGAGAGAAATGTCCAGAAGAAAAGGGAACCAAGGCTTTGTCTACTCAGGAAAGTTGCACCATTTTACCTAAGGGTGTGATTTAAACCAATTTAGTTTAACTAGTGCAAATCCCTGTGTGAACACTCTTATTTGGATTTAAATCAGCCCTATTTTGGTTTAGCTGAATTCAGTTAGAAAGTAGTATAAGTTAAACTGAAATAAGCTGCTTTTAAACTTAGACAAGGCCTAAGTGGCAGGGGAGAAGAGAAGATGGCAGAGAAGCATGCCGAGTTGATCAGCAGGGGCAGGAAGAACTGTACCCATAGGAGAGAGAGATTAATTGAAGACTAAATTAGGTATTTTAATTCTTTTTTAAAAAAGAAAGACAACCCAGTTTTCATATACAAGATGGTTAAAATACATGAATAGTTTGTCAGTATTGCTTTATCATATAAGCTCTTGATGTAACTGACAGGACTGTTACGAAATCTCTATTGATAAAAGGTTGAGTTGCTCAGTTGTCAGTGGAAACCGATGAGGCTGATGAGCTCTCTGCTGAAATGTTGTCCACACTGTAAAAAAAAAGAAAAGTTCAGGCACCTATGGCTTACTTCAGACCGAATGACGGTGTCCCTTTCTATTGTATTTCATCTCAGGCGTGCTAGCTGGAAAACTCATGTTTTCTGTGCAGCAATAGGAATAACTCAGGCTATATCCAGACCCAGACACTTCTTAATCTTTGGGTTATGAATAGATTTAGGGATAAATTCTTTATGCTCCTAATCACCCAAATAAAAATCCTACTGCCCCTTGTGGCTGATGGAAAACTAGCACGGAACATTTGAACCCTTTAATTACCAAGTTCATCAATTCCTTCTTCAGATTAGGCAATCTACCAGCAACCATTAATGAAATATCTATATTTACACTACTGCCTGCAACACCACTGAGCACAAAATGCTGCTATCTCAGTTACACAGCCTCGTAAGAGTAGTCCAGGAAAGCACTGAGTTGACTTAACTCATTCATCTTGGACAGATCCCAGATAGTTATGATGAGCAAGTGTTCCTCTTTCACAGGAGCTTTCACATGTACTCTTCTTCTGCATGGAACTATCTCCCCTCCTCTCAGCTGTTCAGTTTAGATATGAACTAACTTGGAAAGATTGTTCAACCAATATTTGAGTGACACTTACCTTTCTCTCCTCAGTGGACAGGACTCAAGCCATCACACAGATGTCATAATGCTTCATGGAAATAAGCAGATGGATGAAAATTGGTTTAAGATGTACCCAGATAAGACAGAAATGATAACTAGAAAAACTATGTTGAGCTGATCTCATTCACATCCCCTGAAGGCATCAGTCTTCCATGTCAGCACTTAGTGGTCTGATATTTAGGCAGGGAAGACTTGCAGTATTACATCACACTACTGCTCTGTACTCTCCATGACTATCCATTCAACTCCTTACCCTAACCTTTCTGGTTTCTGGTGGACTAAGGCTCAGTTACCTTAAAGACCACATCTTTCTGCCTCTTTGGGTGGGGGATGAAACTGTTAGTGGCTAGAATGAAACTCTTAAGTGCCAGTGGAAAAACTTTATCAAAAGGAAGCTGTAATCTTTGGGATGCCAAAAAAGGTTGGAATGAGCCATAATCATCTCATGTTCAAATCAAAATGCAAGACCCACTACACTGATGATTAATAAACCTGCACATCTCATTAACAGAAAGTAAAGTTGGGAGAACAGAAGAGAAAAGAAAGAAGGAAATGTAAAATGAAAATTGAAAGTGTGACGAGAGGAAGGAAACAAATATAATTTGTAGAACAACCCACTAAATATTATAGTCAAACAATATAGCAGAGGGAAATATTCTTCACATGAAGTCTTTAAAATCTTTTAAAAATGGAGTTTAAATGGTACAACACAATGATTGCCCTAAAACTGCTTAAACAGAGATTTAAGAGGCAAGTTCAGAAAGGTCTGAAAAAGTGTTTTAAGAAGACTGAGGTCAATTATTTATGAATTAAATTACTGATTTCCTTTTGAATTTTTTGAAATCAATTTCCTAAGTTCTCTGCTTAAACTAAGATTCCTCCCAGAGTGAAAACTCTGAACACAGACAGCTTCATTAAGCCATTAAATATTAAATGAACTAAATTAAGCTTGAAAAATCACCTCAAGCTATTTTTCCATCTTCAGTCTCTCAGATAAATGAAAATTACTACATATTGTGCCAAGCTCTCCTCAGCAGGGTGTAGGCAGTGGAGGGTATAGCATTACTTTCTTTCTTTTTTTTTCATCTTTGCTTTTAGGGGCTAACCCTCTAGTCTCCTGAACCACTTAAGAAACAGCCAACTTCTAGGAAACTTTAACTTCTAAGTTCACTTTTGTATAATACATTATGTAATAAAAATACTGTGCCTTCAGCCCTTTGTGTACAACATGTAGACTATTTTTAATCTCTCAAGTCCCAGTAGGAAATGCTTTAAAATCCTTCATCTTCATTTCTCTTCCTGACTTCCTTTCTAAAATGTCCCAGCTGTGCTTGCGTGAAGCTGTCAATTCCTTCTCTCCAAATGTCATTGACCATGCTGAGCTGCTACCTGCCAGTTACCAGCAATTACCCAGGCACTTTCCAACAACGCCTTTCAGAAGTTGAAATAAAGATGAGGATTCAGTGGGGACCACATATCCCTCTCCTCTACCAAAAGGAGATGGAGAGCTCCCCATGGTCTCTGTAAGCAACATTCCCACACAGCTCCCCTCCCTGCTTGTTTGGTGCAATGAGAGCTCTTTCAGTTTGCTTTAATTGCCATTTAAAATCTCTCTATATATGGAGTCTTACTGTTTACATAGCTGTGCCACACATCAGGTAGGGAAGCATGATTATCCCCAGTTCAGAGATGGCAACTTGAGGTAAAGAGAAATGAGACTTGCCCAAGGTCATAAAGGAAGTCCATTGACACTGAATTCAGATCTTCAGGGTCCCACTCTGGTGCCTTAAACACAAGGCCATCCATTCTTGTAAGGAGTCTTGTGCTAGCTCACTGAACTTCTTATTCTTTACAGTATGAAGTACCTGAAGAAGAGCACTGTGTAATTCAAAAGCTTGTCTCTTTCATCAAAAGAAATTAGTCCAATAAAAGATATTACCTCAATCACCTTGTCTCTTTAATATCCTGGGACCAACACAAGTACAACAACAACAATATGACAGACATTTTAAACAACAGGCTTTCTTTGTTCTCTTCTTTTTGCTTTCAAAGTTGCTTTTGTAGAAAGCTGGCATATTCTTTGGGAATGGGTGAACCAGTTTAATAGAAGTAAGAACTGGTCCTCAGACGACTTAAATAAGTAACTTATTTAAATTTTTACTGATATGTTTTTGGCCACTTATTAGTTTCTGTTGAGACTAGAAATATCAAAATACCTTAAAGGCTATTCCCAGAATAATCTGGATTTTGACTGGAACCAATGAGAATCTAGTGACAGATCTTCAGATGAGCTGCAATTCAGGGCACGTCTACACTCCGAAAATTTAAAATGACTCAACAAAAAGTGCAAAGTTCATGTGCAATAAACCCCTCTGTGGACACCTTCATCTAGAAGTTAAGTGACTTAACTTGCTGTAGTTTATTTAGGATTAAGCTACTGCAAACTCAGGCCAGAATGAGAGCATCCATAGAGGTGTTTAATGCACATTAACGTCACTTCTTTAGTTGATTCATCTTAAATATCCTGAATGTTCCTGTGTAGACAAGTTCTTGCTGTGTGAGGGCTAGAATACTTATCAAACCAAACCTGAACTCTGTTTCTATTTCAGTTCACCCATTATTAATATTTATATTGTGCAAGTGATTAGGTGCTGGCAGTTCATCCCATCATTTTGAGAGAATTTTACAGCCCCACAACTCCATTAGCAGCTTCATTAGAATTAGGTTGTCACACTTTTATACATGCTGTTTCATTCGGTTAGCTAGATAGTTTTTAGAGGGGATTAAGTATACTAAAGTATTCTTTTAATAATTTAGCTGAGATGCCTTTTGTACAACAAACAGCAAAAGAGATTTAAAAAAAAAAAAACTTTGTTTTATTACAGGGCTTAGATGTATTAAAATCCATGCTCTCACTTTCATTCCTACCATGCCACTTGTAAAAAGGCCATTTGTGTCTTTAGAGAGAAATGTAAAATAGTATTAACTTGTAGTCCATGCACAAAATATGCTATTATTTTTCTTCACTTTAATGGTGTAGCATTATAGTACAAGTTTTAGATCACTCTTTTAATTTAAAAATGCTGCCATCTAGTGGTTGTTGTGTGTATAAAATGTTTTGTTTCATGCTCCTTAGTTATTCCAAATTTTCAGTTCCCTAGATATGGCCATCCTATAACCTTTACAGGGAGTAGAGGGTGGAGTGGGGGTGTTAGTATAGTGTAGGGACAAGTACAATAAATTTAAAAATGCATGGTACAGTTTGTGATGCTACCTCACCTGTTGCAAAATTCTAAGGGACAGATTTCCATAAGTGCTAAGGTCCCAAAATTGCAAAGGCAATGAGAGCTTCAAATATTTAGCAGCTCTGAAAATCAGACCCTTACTGTGTAACTGATATAAATAAATTATTTATCCTTGTCCTCGCAGCATGTCAAAACATGTATTTTAATTAACTATCATCTTTTATTTGTTATTAATATTTTTTCACATACCATCACAGCGTTACAACAGATCAAAATTGGGGGCCTAATAGAAGCCCATAAAATTATTCATTTGAGGATGGGTATAGATTTGTGTGTGCATGTGTACACACACACACACACACTATACACAACTTGTTTCTATCACCAAATCAAACAAACTTTGGTGCTGGGATATGGGGAAAAAATTACTTTTTTTGCAGAGTCACTTTTATGGTATTTATCCTTTTAGGGAGTCTATTAAAGTCTTCTCTTTCCTCTAGGGTTGCTATGTTGGCTTTGACCTGGCTCATGCTGTTGGTAATGTAGAACTGCATTTACATGACTGGGGGGTAGATTTTGCCTGCTGGTGTTCCTACAAGGTGAGAGCTGCTATAGTATTTGAGAATGTTTTTAATAATTATGTTTCAGAGAAGGGTGGGCAAAGAGGATCAGATTAAATAGGAATCATACCGGCTCCTTGGACCAAAACTCAAACAGAAGCTTTGTCTAAGGTATAAATGCAGCTACCTTGGGTATGGTGGTTTTTAAGACAAATCTGAAGAAATAAAATATTTTACAATATCTATTTTCAACAAGCTCATCACATTAAGACAATAGATGAGGCCAAAGAGCTTCAACTAAAAGCCCTATTGAAATTGTATAACCATCCTGTCTTTATTGAGGAAGGATGAGGGAATGCTGCATGTGAGAAATGATGAGAGCAAAATGTATTCATGTTAATATATTCTTTACAGTATTTAAATTCTGGAGCTGGGGGCCTGGCTGGTGCCTACATTCATGAGAAACATTCCCAGACTATAAAACCAGTGTAAGTATTTCTATATATCGAAGAAAACCCACAGGGGTGTTGTAAAGTTTAAATGTGAAAACAGTTCTCTCTTTCTCTGTCAAAATACACTGTTGCCTTTGTGACATTGCTGATTGATTCTGTTTTTCTGACTGAGGATAAGGTTTTAGAGGTTCAGATTCCAGGTCCAGCCAGGGCTGGAGTTCTGGTTCAACAATATTAGAATTTCATAAGATTCTTCTTTTGAGATATTGGCCCCAAATACTGGAAGTCTTCTGAGCTCAATATCTTGAGGGTAGGAAATCACAAGTATAATTTATTCTTGTGAGAATTCCCACAGTTTTGGACTGATGTCTTAAGATTCATTAGAAACAGAGAGCACTTAGGGAGGGTTCAGAATTAGGGATACATATCAACAATCCTCATTCCCAAATTTGAGGAAATTCAATTGTACAGTTCCTGTTGGACTATGTCTTATATAAGTAAGTAATGGTGCTTATGGTTGAAGAAGCTAGATCAGTATGCAACATCTAATATTTTTGCCTTCCCTCCTCCCCGCCCAAAGAAAATGGATGAATGTGACCACATTTGAAAAAATTAACTAAAAGTTGATTTTTTCCCCTCAGAGGAGATAGGAATAGAGCTCTGTACATCCTTTCAGTTTTGTTTCACAAAGGTTCATGATATCTTTTTTCCATTTCAGTCCATTTGATTTTCATCTTGTGACTTTTGCTTTCAGTTTGTGGTTAGAATGAATCAGTTTTATGCAGTCAAACCAACCAAGTGGCATTCAAATTTCAAACCTCAGGGAGTTTTTAAACGAACATAGGCTGAGTTTAAATGCCTAGTCAAGCCAATATGTACTTTCAGAAGTAATTCACTGACATGAGTGGGATGAGAGAGACAAGGTGGCTGAGGTAGTATCTGTTATTGGACCAACTTCTGTTGGTGAAAGAGACAAGCTTTCAAGCTTACACAGAGTTTTTCTTCAGCTCTGTGTAAGCTCAGAAGCTTGTCTCTTTCACCAACAGAAGTTAGTCCAATAACCAATATTACCTAACCCACCATCTCTCTCTAATATCCTGGGACCAGCATGGGTATAATAACACTGCAAACTTGAATGGGATTACTCATGTGAAGAAGGATTATCTGTATCCTCAAGTAGTTTGCCAGGGTTATGGGCTAAGACCACAGTGCTACAATGAGCTCCACATCTGCAGCCCCTGATGTCTGTATGGAGTCCCATTGAAATTAGTGAGGTGTGGGGTTCCATCTGCTCAGAGTTCATTGCAGGAGCAGAGGCCTAATTTGTTTAAAAACAAAAACATCCAACCCATAACATGAAACCAATAAAAAATTGTGTAGATTGTTGTTTTCTTGCATCTCTAATATGGAATTGCTTAAATCTTCTGTTTGTCCCTAAATTATAAATAGTAGTATATGACGGTATTGAAATTAAAAGTGTATATGCAGGGAGAGATATTTCAGATTACATTACAGAAAGTAAGTGCTCATGCATGCCCTAAAATGGATTGTGATTTCCAGTTTTTGTTAACGGAAGGGGTTTTTTAATTGGCAATTTCACTTTTCAGCTATACTCTAAATACTGGCTAATACAAGTTCAGGCAACAGTTAATTAACCTCATTTTATTCTAAACTGGTGACTGAGAATTTTAGTAAATTATAATAGTTTTAAACTCCATTAACACATACATGTGCACCCCCTAAATAGGTCATCTTCTTGGACTCTGCTTTCAGGTTTACATGCAATCTAATAAGAGGAAACAGTTATAACATTAAAAGTAAGTAACCCTAATCATGTCTAAAAGACTGTTTAGTGTAAACAAAATACAACAAATTTTCTTTTAAAATGTAAACACTGAGTACCTTTCTTGGACCTGAAGAAGAGCTTTGTCTAAGCTCAAAAGCTTGTCCTTTCCACCAACAGAACTTGGTCCAATAAAAGATATCTCACCCTTTTAAGTTCCCTTTTAAAGTTAGACTTTAAAAATAAAAATCTGAGTCTGTGGTTGGTGAACAAAATCAAAGACTGTTTTAGCTCTGATTAATAGTTCTCTAACTGTGGCATGCTTTCATTATAATATCTACTTTTAAAGCTAGGAAGCATTAGATCTGTTTTCTCAAAGACTTTTTAATTCATGTAAAGCTATATTCTCTGAACAGAGGTTGGCTGCATACAAAGAAATACTTGTTAAAAATGTTATATAGATGCTGTCATGTTTAAAAATAGTCGGATTGTGATTTTTTTTAATACATCAATAAATGTAAACAGTACTTTTCTGATGTAACACCTGGAGAAATTGCTGGTACTTATTTTTATTTTAGCTGGGACAAGGAAAACTAAATCTAGTTTCAAAGAGAAATAATATTATTATAACCAGTTGCATTACATTATGTGCAGCTCCTAGGCTGTCTAGACTCTTAATAGATAACACAATATTGCTGATTGGTTCTTGGAATCATCTCAATTGCTCACAACAGAGAACCCATTGTAGGGCGTGCAGCCATTTATAAACTGATCATCACAAGTTTTTATTTGCTTGAGGCCAACACCAGCAAAACTGGATGCTCTTCTGAACTATTCCACCCAGTACTTCTCTCCCACATTTTCGGTGTCCCATCTTTCTTTCTCCCTCATTACTATTTTCCTTGAACTACATGCTCTTTGTCCTCTCTGTATATGTCCCCTCTCCTTCACTCAAAAGATTAACTCATCTGCTCGAAAAGATGCACCTTCCGTTCCCTACTCCTTAACCTCCCACTAGGCTTTCAGGTCTGAAAAACAAACAAACTACCTAGCCCATCTCTGCACTTTTCCATCACTCTAGGCCTGGTCACGTTTTTATGGTCCTTGGGGTTTTCCCAACAGAACACACAGAATAGCCATCTCTTATTGCTGCTGTGTTCAAGAGTACTCTTAGGCTTTACCCAGTCAAATACACACAATGCAGTCTGGCACTAATGTGGCCATGGCTGCTGGATCCTACAAGGATCTTCAAGCCTATTTGGGGTGGGTGGGAGAAGAAAGGGGTCAGGGTCTCATAGGGGGAAGATGTTGGGGACAGGAGAGAGGAAAGGGACTTTGTAGTGAGCCGTCTGGAGACACAGAGTGGGAAGAGTGATTTACATTTGGGGGTATGTGTGAAAAAGAGACACATAGGGGATTGGATCCCTTTCCTGAGCTTTTGAAACCTTAGTAAATGCACCAGCTTGAATTTGTGGAATGGGCTAAGATTAGAGTTTGTTACTGAACCAATTTCCCCATACATAGTCATTAAGTCCTGTACTATGCTGAGATAAATGAACATTTTAAAGTATAAATATAGCTACATGTTACATACTTTTCCAACCTGTGACCCGCTGTATACATTGCAGATGGCGCTGAAGCCAAACTGTGGGTCTAAGCACCACAGAACTTTGAAGTTCAGATCAAGATCTGCATCTGAAATTTGAGGGGAGGCCCTATCTTTATCTCTATAACAGGCTCGAATCAGAATTCAGGATCAGATCCGTGAGTCCAGACAGCTGCAAATGTTAGAGATGTAGAACTTTGGGTGCAAACTTTGCAACATGAGCCCATCTCTCAGTCAAGTTACTTTAAAGCAGGACGACACAAAGTCAGAAAAGCAGGACAGTGAAAAATTGTAAGAGTAATTTTTTGTTGGGACCTTAATAGCCATAGTTCTTTTGTATATAATGAAACATGGAGATCAAATTGTTTGTTGTTAATATGCCCCAGTTGCATTCCTTTTCCCCCCTCCCACATCACCCAGCCATTTCAGATTTCCAAATAAAGCAGTGATACAAAAGAGAATTTGTCTATGTCAAAGTGCTCAATTTGAAAGCTGATTCAAATGCAGAACAATTTGCTGTGTGGTGTACAATCAAATAGAGTGGAATTTAACTGTTAGTGAAGTTGCAGATTTTATGCTGTATCTAAAAAGTCTTTAATCGTCATTTGAATCAAGGATGACACCCAGTGGCCAGAAAAGTTCATTCAAACAGAGAAGCCCCAAATATCTTTTCATTTTTGTCTTTCAGCCACCCTGAAGTAGGTAATTAAATTCCAATCCAGTTGATCTCTGTGTCATTTAAATGATTTGACAGATTGTTTTTAACCCATGGCCAATATTATGTAAACCACTTTAACCAACCATATTGATTTCTTTAACTTATCTCATCCTTCATATTCAAGCTATTGACTAGGCAATTATATTTATCAAAATGTTTTATTGCCTTGTAATGTAAAATGTACATTCTGGCCATCTTTCAAAGATGAAGCTCTGAGGTGTATGCCAAAGGACCTCTTGCCTGTAATTAGCAAGTATAAATTAGAGCCCAAGGTAAAACCAGGGCACAGGGTGAGAAATGGTTTTGTCGTCCCGCAAAACTTTTTGAAATTTCAACATTTTTTCCTCTTCCACATCAGGTGGAAAACAAGAGAGAGCAAGAGAGACCAACCCTAACAGCTAATAGCCTGATGGTCAGGCCACTAATCTGGGAGATGGGACACCCACATCCAAGTCCTTCTCGGCCTACTGTAGACCAGGAACTTGACTGAAGATCTTCCACATCCCAGATGAGTGCCCTGATCATCAGGTTGCTGGCTATTCCGGGATGGGTTTCTTTCAATCTCTCCTTTTGGAGCTGTTCCACTTTCCATATATAAGTAAACAGTCATTAAGTTTCCCACATGAGTACCCTAACCCCTGGGCTCTAGAGTCAGTATCTCTCCCTCTCTGTATAAATAATTAAATATTTGCTGGGCCAAAGCAGAACAGCTCCAACAGGAGAGCATAAGACACAGACTGACTCTAGACAGTAGTCAGGGTAGTCCTGCTCAGCATTATTAAGCATCTTTACCTAAAATGTCAGATGGCATTTTTCTAGCTTATCTTTCCTTTCTTCCTTTAGTGGAAACTTTGTGCCAATTGACTTTTGATGTCAATGGTCGCTAGTCTGTTGACTTTGACAATAGTTGAGACCACTTCTGACACCAG